CCATAAAAGGTAGTAACACAAAGCAATGTCCACACCAGATATAAAAACAATCCAAGACAGCATTTATCCAGATGGGAATCAACAGGATGCAAAGACAATCTGAAAGGCTAAAAACACCCCATAGGAACAAGACCCCTTGAACAGGATTTCCATGGCACATGAACTTGATTTCCAAACGATGCCTGATCTAACAGGTTTCCCCTTGAGGCAAACCTTATATCCCAAAACTTTTTTTTTTCTTGTATTGTTAACAACTATTTGTAATACATTTATCTTGACATTGCTTTAGTTTCAATACATTTTTTCTTTCCACTCCTTAACCCTCCTCCCTTTGACAAGTTGGTCCTTCTTCATTTATTCGAGCCATCGTTGCATTTTATCTAGTTTTTTTCCCAATGATCGTCTTCTGGTTTAGCTTCTTGTATCCAATTTTTAAAGGGTGACCATATTTCTTTGATTTCCTTCTGCTTCTCTGTCCATAATTTTTCATTTCTTATAATGTCCATAATTTCCAATTGTACTTGTTCCCACACATATTCATATCATTTTCCCAGGGTCCAAAAAACCCCCTTATATCCCAAAACTCAGAAATTGGTTTCGCTTTCCTCCACATTTACCCCTTATCGGACAAAGCCTTTCAGAGCGACATAAACACTGAGTTTGCTGTTGATCCTGGCTAATCTCCAGCCGCCTATTCTTCAGCTCCCTGTCTGGCTCTGGCTGCTCATTAAAATTCCCATGTGTCAAGATTGTTTTCCAAACCCAAATCTTGAGAGTTCACTGAGAGAGAGAGCGAACCATCATTGCTAGGCCCCGCAGGGATATTCTCATGAGAAACTGCCCTTTGCACTGGGGCCTCTCTGTCATTGTCTGCCTGAAAATCATTGACTAAGCCAGTGGTTCTCAACCTTGGGTCCCCAGATGTTTTTGGCCTACAACTCCCAGAAATCCTAACAGCTGGTAAACTGGCTGGGATTTCTGGGAGTTGAAGGCCAAAAACATCTGGGGACCCCAGGTTGAGAACCACTGGACTAAGACATCTCCATCTTGTACCTCAGCCTCAGCACCATCATTTCCCTCGTCATTTCCCACATCAGGATCCTGCAAGACAAACACAGGCTGATTCCCAACACAACCTCTGAGGATGCCTGCCATAAATGCAGGCAAAACGTCAGGAGAGAATGCTTCTAGAACATGGCCATATAGCCCAAAAAACCTACATCAACCCAGTTTCTGTATTTTGTTTGGCAACCGCCGTTCTCAGCTTGGTCTCCATCTTGAGCATCCATTCAAAGGAGGCAGGTGTTTCCTTTCGATCCATAAATGAGATCCAAAGCTTTCCAGACCTTTAGGAAGATTGGTGTGGTTTCTTTTTCCAACACCTGGCCAAAGTCTCATTGACACCTTGGGGTTGTGTTTTAGTCATCTTAATATCCAGAAGATTGTGTTTTGTTTTGAAAAATGTTTAAAGTGATTTGTTTTTAACCAAGGATTTTAGTTTTTTGTCCGCTCGACACCATGCCTCTTTGCCTTAGTGCGGAACTTTCCAAGCATTTCATGTCAGTGACAACTTTTTTGGGACACGCATCACTTCGCGACACAGTCGTGCAGTTTTACTAAAAAAACCAGGCTTTAGCAAACTTGGGCCCTCCAGGTGTTTTGGACTTCAACTCCCACAATTCCTAACAGCCTACCGGCTGTTAGGAATTGTGGGAGTTGGAGTCCAAAACACCTGGAGGGCCCAAGTTTGCCAAAGCCTGGGTTAAACCAACCTCTTGTAAGCAATCCAGACACATACACAAACCATAATAATGAAATGCATGGGGAGACTGCATATCTCATGGAAACCTTTCATGTAAAGGGCTTAAAGTATATGATGCCTTGCTTATTTCAACCGACTCAGTGGTTTCGCCTTCCGTTCACGTGACGCACCTACAAAGTTGTTGTGTGCATTGTCGAAGGCTTTCATGGGTTGTTGTGAGTTTTCCGGACTGTATGGCCATGTTCAGGAAGCATTCTCTCCTGACGTTTCACCTGCATCTATGGCAGGCATTCTCAGAGGTTGTAATGTCTGTTGGAAATTAGTAAAATTGGGGTTTATATATCTGGAAAGTCCAGGGTGGGAGAAAGAGCTCTTGTCTGTTGGAGGTTGGTGTGAATGTTTCAGTTGACCACCTTGATTATCATTTAATTATCATATTATTTAATTCGAATCTGGGGAGAGCGCGGATGAGCTCCCTCTATCAGCTCCAGCTCCTCATGTGGGGAGATGAGAGAAGCCTCCCACAAGGATGGTAAAACATCAAAACATCCGGGCATCCCCTGGGCAACGTCCTTGCAGACGGCAAATTCTCTCACACCAGAAGCGACTTGCAGTTTCTCAAGTTGCTCCTGACATGACAAAAAAATCATTTAATGGGCTAGCAATTTCAAGGTCTGTCTTCTTAATGCCTAGAGGAATCCTTTGAAAATGAAAATAAACAAAATCTGGGTTGTCACAGGTTTTTCAGGCCATATGGCCATGGTCTAATAGCATTCTCTCTTGATGTTTTGCCTGCATCTATGGCAAGCAGAAGTTGTGAGGACCTCACAATCTCTGAGGATGCTTGCCATAGATGCAGGTGAAATATCAGGAGAGAATGCTTCTAGAACATGGCCATATAGCCCAAAAAACCGACAACAACCCAGTGATTCCAGCCATGAAAGCCTTTGACATTGAACAAAATCTGTCTACCAGTATTAAAAACACTCTAAAATCACAACAGTAAATAAAGAACACTAAAAAACAGGGGAATTCCAAAGAAGAAACTATCGAGGCCAGCTAATTACCCCCCAACAAAGGATTGCCCCCAGGCACTAAGCCAGACCTTGAAACTGCTAGACCATTAAATGCTATTCAAGGTTGCCAGTTGAAATATTCACATCTACCTCAGACAAGAATTTTCCATAGATATATAAACCCCATTTTTTCTAGTTTCCAACAGACTTCACAACCTCTGAAGTTGCCTGCCATAGATGCAGGTGAAACATCAGGAGAGAATATCCATCTGAACATGAGGAAGAACTTCCTGACTGTGAGAGCCGTTCAGCAGTGGAACTCTCTGCCCCGGAGTGTGGTGGAGGCTCCTTCTTTGGAAGCTTTTAAACAGAGGCTGGATGGCCATTTGTCAGGGGTGATTTGAATGCAATGTTCCTGCTTCTTGGCAATGGGGTTGGACTGGATGGCCCATGAGGTCTCTTCCAACTCTGATTCTATGATATAGCCTGGAAAACTCACGACAACTCAAAGCTGTTGTGACACACAGTTTGGGAACCTCTGCCTCCATGTGTTGCCTGTGGCTGTGCTTTCTGGATGCGCTTTGGCCAGAAATGCAAAGGATCATAAGGGAAAAACGCAGCCACCTGACCTCCGAAAAAGGGGCGAGACTTACTGGCTTGGCGAGGATTAGGCAACGCTCCACTCAAGTCCTTAAGTTTGTCCCTGCAGCCTGTTCAATAGTGCACATGGTGCTTCCGTGGCACATTCTTTGTGTAGCCAGAGGACCACACCATCGGCCTTCATAAGCAGACAGGCACCTGCTTAGCTTTGTGGAAACAGAAGGACAAGGAGGTTGGTGAAGGACAAGGAGGTTCCACCCTTTCTGTAGGGTGGAAGGTGAGCTTGGGCACCTTCGTTTGTCACTGACCCTTTTTTGGAGAAGCGCCTGCCTGCCTGCCTGCACCCACACCATTGGCCTTCATAAGCAGACAGGCACCTGCTTTGCTTTGTAGAAAGAGAAGGACAAGGGTTTGGCCCTTTCTTCCCTTTCTATGGGGCGGAAGGTGAGCTTGGGCACCTTTGTTTGTCACTGACCCTTTTTTGGAGAAGCGCCTGCCTGTCCTCTCTTGTTGCTCTTCTTCTGCCTGAAGCTGGACTTCTCAAAGAAAACAAACCAAGCACTTTTATTTCCTCTACAGACACAGCGAATAAACCTCCTCTTTTTATCCAAGTATTGTCGGGGCTTCTCACACGGGCCCCCAAATGTTTTGAAACTGTACAGATTTGAAGTGCCATTAGGAGATGTGCAGCTCATCATGGCTCAGTTTAGCTTTTTATTCCCTCTTCTTTCTTTTTTTGTCTTAACACAATTAAGTCCAAAATGAAAAGAGGGCGTGTGTTGTTGTTTTTTTTTTTTTTAAAAAAAAGATAATGAAATTGCTTATTAAAATTGTTTGAAGTTCTCAGCCTTTTCTCTTTCTTTGTTGGGGGGCAAGGGGAAGGGCCTTCGCTATAAAGTACAGCAGGACCCCTGGGGAGGTCACAAGGGGGTGTCAGAAGGGTCGCCAAAGACTATCAGAAAACACAATATTTTCTGTTGGTCATGTGGGTTCTGTGTGGGAAGTTTGGCCCAATTCTGTATTTTTTTTGGCTTCAGAGTTTTGAAATTTGAGGTACGTATTCAATTTGATGGTGCATTAGACTTGAGTAAATACAGTAGTTGGAACTCACACCAGGGTAACTTGCTTTTCTGTCCATTGCAGAGGCTAGAACTCTGTACTGACCAACCTCCACAACCACTTCCTGGCCAATAGGAGGGGATGATGAATAGAGGCCATCTTCCTACATCTGGATACAGCAATGTCTGCAAATCCCCCCAAAATCACTTCTTGCTATGCCACCAGCCCTGGAAAAGATGGCGCTGGATTTGAAGGACAGACTCAACCAAGCATGTGCAAACTTTGGACCTCTAGGTGTTTTGGACTTCAACTCCCACCATTCCTAACAGCCTCAGGCCCTTTCCTTTTCCCCCTCAGCCGCTTAAGGAAGGGGCCTGAGGCTGTTAGGAATGGTGGGAGTTGAAGTCCACAACATCTGGAGAGGCAAAGTTGGCCCATGCCTGGGTTACTAACGCTTTACCTTCAGGGCAAGAGACTACAAATGGTACCCTGATAATTGGAACAAACCATTTTTGGGAAGCATTTGCAAGCGTTGTACAAACAAGGATGTCTACGAGAGAGACAACAGGACAACAACGTATTTATTTACAGTTGGGCTCAAACAATACATTAAAAAGTGTAAGGAATATAGGTGGAGGGGGCTGACTCGAATACCCTAGATCTGGATCGAATTGAGCTCAGGACGGACTCCACCGCACGGCGAGGGCAACCACAGCGTGGCAAGGGTTGCCACGGTTCCTTTGGGTCAGTCCTCGGTCCTTTGCGGCGATGGTCAAGGAGGGCATTGAAGCTTCTCAGCTACCTCCGATTTCCTTATCGTTGGGGCAGATTGAGAGACTGTTCTGCTGAGAAGCAGACGAGGATGGAAGAAACACTTGCAGAAACAAGGACATCCTTTCTTGAAAAGCCCAACAGCCGCGCAGAAGTCCTCCGGCTCCTTTCCTTCTCTTACATTTACCAGTCTAGACTCCTTTGCTTGGCACATGAACAGCGTAGCGAGTTTTGTCCAGACATAAAGAGTCTGGTGCTTCCTCTCAGTTCCAGGAGATTAGTTTGAGGTGATTCATAAGGAATGTTTTTCCAGCATTTCTCTGTCTCGTAGACCCAGGTTATTGTGGAAATTGACAAACTTCACACTTTTTATTGTCGTTCAAAGCTTGCCGAGACAAGGCAAGCCTCTCTCGTTGAAAATCTCCAGCATTGAGCAGCAGAAGGAGGCAAAGGGTTTGGATTCCTCTGAGAAACTGCCCTTGCTTTGCAATTCCGAAATGGCACTTCCCTCCAAAGTGGCAGAAGAGAAAAGAGAGCTTCCTGGAGTCATGGCCAAGTATTTGCAAACATTTTCAGGATTTTCACTGTCTTCCGAGGACCAGGCACAGCAAAAGGCCATTCTGCACAGAAAACGAAGAACGCCTCTCCGTTAATTAAATGCCTGCTTCACAAAAAAGTGTATCTGTCGCTGTTACCATGACACACAGAGAGAAAAATAAGGACGAAAGAAAACTAAAAACTCATTGAGAGGGATGATTCGGAGCTTTCCAAAGTTCCTTATGACCAGAATAGAGTAAAAATTAAAATGCAAAGTATCTACACATCCCTCCAGGAGATTTCCCCCCTGTTTTCCAAGGACACGGTGCCAAAGATTACATTCCCAACATTGAGCTGTTTTGTTTTTCTCTTTTATTTCTGGTGTCCCGCTCCCACCGAGTCCTGCTTCCTTGGGAGAAAGAGGAAAGAGAGAAGAGTCCCTCGCTTCCATCCCAGGAGGAAAACGAGAGGAAGGCCCGCCTTGTGCTGCACGGCGCCCCAGCGCTTTCAGTCTATCTTCACAGCCGCGTAAATCTTGCGGACGAACATATAGGCTGCATAGAAGCCAATGGTCCCTGTCAGGAGCCAGAAGGACAGCACCATGAGGGCAGTGTAGCCAAAGTACAGCAAGGAGGGGATGAACTCCACAATGTCCAGCTGCAAGAGAGA